AGTGCCCACCGGCGCCTTCGCCGCCCGCCCGCCCGCAGGCTCCATGGCGCGGCAGCTGCAAAAGGCGGCCGTGCGCCTCCTCAGCGAGCAGACGTGCCGCCGCTTCTACCCGGTGCAGATCAGCAGCCGCATGCTGTGCGCTGGCTTCCCGCAGGGCGGCGTCGACAGCTGCTCGGTGAGCGCGCGGTCCGGGACCCGGTCCAAAGAGGAGGGCGGGTCTCCACGCCCAAACCCCCCCGGCAGCCACGTCCGAGCGGCTTTCCGGCTTTGAGGGAAGTTCCACTGCACAACTGTAATGGGCACCCAGCCGCCGCGTCTCACCGCGCACGTCCCAGCCCCGGTCCGGGACAAGCACTGGGTTGGGCTGGACGAGGCCTGGCCCACACAGCCTAGGGATGGCCCTAGCACTGAGCCCGCCCAGAGGCCGAACGCGAGGCTCCAGGGAAGCACTCACCGGGGTCCCTCCTGGCCTTGCCAGTGACCCAGGGCTGCCCGAGTCGAAGGCTTTTTTTGCACAGGACTGCTGGGGGAGGTGCTGGCTTGAATGCTTTCTTCTCTCCCCGCAGGGCGACGCTGGCGGACCCCTGGCCTGTAGGGAGCCTTCTGGCCGCTGGGTGTTAACTGGGGTCACCAGCTGGGGATACGGCTGCGGCCGGCCCCACTTCCCAGGTGTCTACACTCGGGTGGCAGCTGTGAGAGGCTGGATAAGCCAGCACATCCAGGAGTGACAGCCCACACGCCATGCGCCAGGGCAGTCCACGCTGCAGGCAGGCTGTGCGGGTGGGTGGGAGTGAGATGCAGTTTGCATATTTTCTTACAATAAACAGGCCTTTGCCCTTAGCTTACTGGATCAGCCTCTTTCTGACCCTGAAAGTAGGGGAAGCAGGGAAAAAAGCCTCCCGCAGGAAGGGATATTAGTTTTTGGTTTGTTTCTTTTTTTTTTTTTTTTTTTTTCCCGGTACCGGGAATCGAACTCACGACCTCATGCTTGCCAGGCAGCCGATGTGCTGTTGAGCTAAATCCCCAGCCCCTTCACTTAGTTTTTGGTACAAGGATGGTGCCACCTCATTTCCAAGCCTCTCCCCAACCCTCGCCCTTCTCAGTATTGAGGAGTGAACCCAGGGCCTTCCCACTGAACTGCATCCCTAGTCCTTTTTTTTGACAAAGGGCTTCTTGAGATCCTCCTGCCTCAGCCTTCCAGAGTACTAGGATGACCGGCATGGCTCAAGCCTTCCTTCTGTGCTGGCAGCACTGCCTGTGATCCAGCAGCCCAAGGGCACCAAGGGGAAAGCTGGATGTTCCCACAGAAGCTGGGGGGCCCAAAAATGAGCGACATCTCTCCCAGGGAAAGTCACAGTGTGTCTCTGCCCCTAGCTCAGCAATTTATTGGTGCACCCTCAGGAGGCCACAGCTAAGGTGGGGTCTCAGCCCCCAACCCGAGGTCCAAATAACGGTTCTCAGCCCAGGCCAGGCGGTTGACCCGGGCGCACCAGGGGAGGGGCTGGCGACTGCTGAGCCCACAGAAAGTCCACCGAGCCGCGAGGCTTTGGGAAAGGACAAGGATCCCAAAAGTCAAGTGGCACTGGTTGCAGGCGACCGTCCCAACTGTCCCCTCACAGTCGTGCCATTGTCATACACCATGGCAGGCAGCAGGCACGTGCTAGCTAGCGCCCGTCTCACAAAGTACGTTTATGGAGATGGGCACGGGGGAGGGGGGCCTGGGATGGATCCCAGGGCTGCTCCCACGCCTCTCCGTTACATGTTGGCGCGCTCCCGTTGCAGTCTTGAGTTATAGGCACGGGACACGGTGTTCCAGGCGTCCATGTATCGGTCCATACACATGGCGATGCATTTCTAGGTGCGGAGAGGGAGGGGATGAGCGGCTCAGTTCTAACCCTTGCACTCACTGACAGCCAGCCAGGCGCCAGGCCGCTCGGGTTGAGACTGCGCACGCGCACTTCCCCCTCTCCCCAGCCTGGTCGCTCTCAGCCCGCACACGCGCAGACGCCTCGCCGCGCCGCTCCGACAACCTGCGCACGCGTAAAACTCGCGCGGCGCCGTTAGACCGCGCATGCGTAGACGCCTCCCCGCGCGGATCGAGACCCTGTCAATCCCCCCAATCCCGAACCCCTGAGAGATCTTACCTGTTCCGAATTGTCCAGGGAGCCCCCTGGTTTCCCAATGCACTTCCGGAAACACTTGTCGGTCATCCTCTGTGGACACACGCGAGACCTCAGCTACGATGTCCGACCCTGCCCGGGATTAACCGGCCGCCTCGCCCCCATCCCGGCGCACCCCGCACCTGTAGCAGCTCCTGCGCGTTGGCCACGGCAATCTGGACCTTCACCTGCTCCATGATGACCCCCGGATCCAGTTTCCCGCCGCCGGAGCCCGCGAAATCGGAGCCGAAACCACCTTCCATGGCTCCGCAAAGTCAACTGGGCCGCAGGCCACGCGCGTCGAGCCCGCAGCCCGCAGGTGAGTTGCCCGGAGCACCACGGGAAGCGTAGTCCGGTCTACAACTCCCACAAGGCCGCGCGCGCTGCAGTGAGTCTGGTCTCCCCAGGCACCATGGGAAACGGAGTCCAGAGTGCAATACCCACAGCTCCCCTCCGCTCACGCGCAACTCGATCTCCCGGTTGCCTCTCCGCAGAGGGCGCGCCCGGAACCGGCTTTCGTCCTCTAAGGTTCCGCTTCCGGGTCGTAGGGTGAGCACGCATGCGCAGTATATCCTAGGGTAACGTTGAGGCAATGGGTAACCCCCAGGCACTGGATCCATCCTCATGCCGCAGGAACGCTTCCCGGCTTTGATATCATGGGACTTTGAGATCATACGACTTTGAGATCAGATTGGCCGGGCGTGGTGGCGCACGCCTGTAATCCCAGCACTCCGGAGGCTGAGGCAGCAGGAGCATTGCAAGTTCGAGACCAGCCTGGGCTACAAAGTGACCCTAAGGCCAGCCTGAACTGCACAGCGAGACCCTGTCTCAAAAAGACACACACACAAAAAAAAATCAGATTGGAAGCAGCAGTTAAAATCAAAGTGTTTATTGGAGTGTTGAACAAAAGCTTCCAGTCAGCCTGGCATGATGTTGCACACCAGTAATCCTAGCACGAGGGAAGCTGAGGCAGGTAGGTTCCTGAGAGTTCGAGGCCAGTCTGTGTTACAAAGTGGGTTCAAGGCCAGCCTGGGCTACAAAGCAAGAAGCTGTCCACAAAACAGAATAAAACAAAACACCTCCCAAACAAACAAACAAACCAGTTTCCAGTTGTAAAATGTATATTACAAATCACTGCGTGTGGAAGGCCGCTTATGTTTGGCATGTATCTTCAAAACCCCAAACAAAACCCCCAAAGCAAGACTCCCCAGCCCAGAGCCCTCAGCCCCATGTCCCTTGCAGGCCGGGAGGGTGCTGTCCACACAGGAACGTCCCGACTGGAGCTTTAGTGTAAATGGAGTTGGGAAGGGTTAAAACGAGCTACGGAAGCAGGTACGCACCAGGAAGGGCCCCGGGAAGCTCGCTCTAAGGGGCGTCAAGCTAAGCACACCGGGGTGGGCACATGGCCCTGAAACCGACACAGGTACCTGAAGCTTGGTGACCGACGACCACCCACCTCCAACACTAGCCGCCCGCCCGGCCCCCACCTCCTCCAAGCAAGAACACCCAGGGAGCCTGT